AATCAGCATTTCTTTATTTTCTCATGCCTGGTAGGAATGCAGTCACTGCTTTTGTTGGTCCCAGGCTGTGCTTTATGCTGCAACAAAACCTGATCAATGAATGAAATTTTTCATGTGGCAAAAATTTAAGGAGAGCGCATGCTTTCTAAGTCAAATGGTAATACTTCGATTAAAATTTAGGTTAGATGGAAAGTTGATGTTCCAGATTTACAAAAAAACCTATTTGTCTTCTGTTAGGAGAGTCAATGTTGTGACTCAGCTGTTGTGACAGGTTAGTGTTGTCTGACATGGCTCAAGCATGTAGCATTAAAAATCAAGATTGACAGGTGGGCAACAAAGGGATTTCACTGCGTTTTCCTCTGAATCAGCTCAAATGAAAATCTTTATCTTCAATCTCGAGAAACTGATTTCTCCACTTTAATGCCTCAAATAAGCAGTCATAGATGTTTGAAATGCATGGTATCAGAATTTATCTACTTTCCCATACTTTGTGAACTTCCCAAAAGAGGAGCAATATCAAGCAGTTCCTGACTCCAGTTTTAAGGAAGGCAGAACGGACTGTTACCTCTGTGGGCTGAAAGAGCAGATATAACCATTCTTGAGGATTCTTCTTTGCTTTGTAACAAGGTCAGTTCTTCTTCCATCTTCACTTTTAGCCAGTGAAAGGTAGGAACCAGTGGTATTGCACTAATAATGGATATTTCCTGCCAGCCTCCAAAAGCACTGGTGATCAGCACCTGATTTACGATTTGGAAATGCACCACCAGCTCATATTTTAAAGTATGTGTGATCTTTGAACCGCTAAGTGTCGTAACTACTACCACATGCAGCCAGGGATGCTAATTTTTTTTTAGAACTCAGTTGTGGTCTCAGCATGCTCAGCTGAGCATTTGTTGTCTTTCTCTTAAGTATTTAACAGGTTGTGTGTGTGTGTCTTTGCAGAACTTCAGTGGAATATATGAAATAGTCAGGGACTAGGGAGCAAACTGTTGATTCTTGCTGTTATGAATTACTTTGTTGTCCTCTGTTTTGGACTCTCAATTAGCTCTGTCCAAAGAATCTACTTTTTATGCAGCTACATAGACATGGAAGAGTTCACCAGAGGCTGACAAGTGTGCTTTAATTTCTGAACTAGCTAAAATAGCACAAGCCTCAGTAACTTTGCTATCCACTCACATATTTTATGTGTGGAACGTTTTTTTCTTTAAAAGCAAAGAAGGTGTTCTCATTTAAATTTTTAAATATAATAAAATGTATTATCCTAACTGATATGATACAATAGATTGATAAAACTTTGTGATAGAAAAAGAATACGTTGACATCTACAGTTTATCAAAGATTTTCTTGTTTGAAATCAGAACTTTGTTTCAAGGATGATTTGACATTTCTTTGTATCATTCATGATGAAATTTAACCATCAAGTAAAGAGATTTTATGCATGTTGGCATGTTATTCAAGAGAAAAAAAAATGCATTTTGACAAATAACTTATTGATAAAAATGCGTAAGTGTATTTATCTGTACATTTGATTTTATGGTTTTTTTTTTTTTTCCAACTGTGTAGTTAATTTAGATAAACAAAGCACATGTATTGGATTTTCTAACTTGACTTTCCTATCCAGTCATAGCGGATCAGGAGCTATTAGAATGCCAGGGCTATAAAAAAAATACCAACACAAACCAGTTTTGGAAGTGATTGGGTGTTGTTAAAAGGAATTTAGATCGCTGGTAGCTGCAAAGAAGACAGACTTGTTGAAAGCATCAATAGGAAAAAAAGTGACTTGAAGCAAAAAACATTGAGTAAATGAAGTCAGATTCAAGTAGCCAAATGAACAAGCAAGGTGTGAGCATTGCCTTGTCAAAGCCAGTAATCTTAGATGCCATTAAATATTTAGTGTGGTCTATTTGATGAGTCTGGTCTATTTGATCTGCTTCTCACAAGCTCTTTCTTTGAGAGGTCTTTATTTATGATTTAATAGCTGTCCATGAATTTGGAACTTTGAATTAAGAGAATTAAATTTTCTTCTTCAGCTGTATGTGGCATTTGATGAGTGTCTGTGTAGAAGGAAATAATTCTTGAATAAGACCCTCACTTTTAGTTACCAGTTGTCTTAGATAACAGTAGCATATTCAGTCCACAGCAGTAACTGTGGGGAAGGCACCTGTGATCTGTGGTTGTGGCTGAATTATAATTGCCCTGTTATTTACCTAAAAAGGGACACTTACAGGTACATGGGAAACAGTTTGAGTATAAATAAATGAAACACTACTCTGGAAATATTTAAATCAAATGCCTTAAAGGAAAATGCCTCAAAATAATTTCTAATGACATTTCTCTTCTTAGAAAACAAAGTAGAGTATATCCTTTATGTCATCCTTTAAATTTTTAAATCCATGGAGCTATTTAAATTACAGTACATTCTCTGAAGAAAACAAATTAATATACCATAGGAGAGAAAGATTGTCTCACTGCCCATTACCAAAGCATAGAATAAAACATTCATGTCTGAAATAATTGTAAATGACCTTTTATGACTGAAAATGAAATTCTATTATATAATGCAGTTATTGTATTGCTTCATGCATTTATTAATACTTCCTTATTTTAACAACACCATGAACAATGGGAATGACACGTGTTGGCACAGAATGAATGTGACCCAGCAAGCTTTTAAAAAAATTGGGAATGAGCATGTTTGATATTGAGAACTCTCTTTAGAGCCTGAAAGCTTTTTTTTTTTTTTTAATTAGTGAGATGTCAGCATAAGTTTCAGTTGAAGCAGGGTAGGAAAAGCTATGGCCCATATGAAACATTTTTCAAATGCAGCGCATATAATCAGATTTACTCTTCGCAGGTGTACCTTTTCCTGTGGTTTCATCAACAGAACCTTGGGGAGTTTTCTGGTTCATTGGTTGGTTCTGGTTTTTTCTTTGCCCTGTTGCTCTTTATAAGTCCAGGTGACTTTATAAATCAATCTGCAATTGAAAGGCAATGTCTGATACTGTAAGCAGTTTCTCAGTGGAGTTGCCAATGACCTTATTGATTCAAGCCTCTATCAATATTTTCTTGATTTCCCACTGATTTTGTTGATTTATGGATTTTCTGACTAAGACAACTAAGAGGCCTTAGAGTGCTCTGAGGCTCACTGCTAATGTATCATGTCAATAAACAAAGACCATTATCCCATGTAGCAAATCTGTGTACATTTTAATCAGGGTTATTCTGGAAAAAAATCTCATTTTCTTAACTTGGTAAATAAGTTCCCTGAAATGGCTGTGACAGATATTTATCTCCCCCACTCAGGACAGTGTATCAAAACCCCCTTACAGCCTTTTGCTCTGAAAAGGAAATCAATATGTAGATGGAATTATTATTATGTGTTAGTATAGATGACCCGAAATTTTATCTGTCTCAGGCAGGCAAATCTGGTGAGAAAGCTCATATTTTTTTCACTGTTCTAATGATCTATGCTAGCAAAAAGTCAACTTAATCTGTTATCTAGCTGGAGGATTGAGTAGACCTTTAGAGAGAATCAATAATGGAATACTTCCATACAAGTACTAGATACCAAACAGCTGACTGTATTTCAGATCAATCTCTAGGCTGCTTTCAGCTGCAATGGGAATTGCTACTATTAGAAGGCAGAAAAAGTGGCAAAACTGGTTTGCTTCAATTCTTAGTTGTTGTAAGTACATACTAGCTTTAGCTATAAATAAAAGGAACATTTTGAGATGGTTGTTGTTGACGTTTAGTGTCCAGTTTTCAGAGTTCCCAAAGCAATAGGCACAAATTTATGTGCCAAGCTATCTTTCCTGTTGAAATCCTACACATCTTGGGATGCCTCAGCCTCCAATTAGCACTTCCAGAGGCATTAGAAGAAATTTGCTCGATGGTGTTTGCAGGGTGATATCTATTTGGTTTGAAAATAATTATTTTTTCTCAAGCAGTCAATGCTTGGGTGGGATCAGCTATGAAAACTCTTTTGAACAAACTCTTTTGAAAACCCTTTGGAGCATGTCTGCTTGCTTTTAAATTGTTGTTGATTGCCTCTATCTGCTTATTTTTGATTGTTCACTATCAGCTTATCTCCAAAGCATACATCACGTGGACACACAGTCACAAATACTAGCCATGCCTCCAGTATGCCAATAAAAGTCAAAGTTTTTCAGTACCTTCAGCCAAAAATCAACCCTCAAACTCGCTGTATTAAATGTTCTTGCACCAACCTAGGAGGACAACTACTGTGGAAAGATACAAATTCTTGTGTTTCTGTCTGAAACATTTTGCCAGAAGAGTACTTTGGAAGAGTGTTTTATTTTACAGCATCCCTTACACAAGACATCTTTGTATTGAGTGTAACAGAGCCTGACATCTGAATCCGCTGGGCTCCTGGCAGCGCCGAGCTATCAGGTAGCTGAAGCCATCTCCTGGTTACTGCCGGGTGAAGCCCAGAGCCACTTCTTTCAGCAGCTGAACTCCACTCGACAGAAACTACTCCTCTCCATCCGGACTTTGTCCCTGTGGAGGCCGACTCCAGCCGGCTCTTCCCGAGCATCGCCCGCGGCGGTCGGGAGCGGATCAGCACCACGGCCAGCGCCCCCGGCTGCCCGCAGCCGGCGCCCAGGGAACCCAAAGGAGCGCAGGAATCGCGGGAGAGGGAAGTCCTGCCTCCGTGCTGATGCTTTTTATGGGGACCAGACACCAAACGAAAGGTCAAAGCATGCTGTTTGACCTCCTCAGCTATATTTTAAACCGAGGAAAGGACAAAGGTCTTTCACAGAAACAAATGGAATAGAAAGGACACTTCTGTGTTACCATCATGCTTCTCCCAATGTTAGACTGAAAACAATTGGTGCAGCCATAGGGATTTTTTTCCCTTCTCATGACAGTAAGTGGCAATTTTTTTTGTCTGCTGAGGGCAAAGGTAACTGCTGCTGATTGCCAGATCCAGTGTGAAATTAAGCAGCTGAAAAAGTATAAAGGGGAGGAAGTGACACATTATGTTCAAAAAGATCCATTCTATATTTCACCCCAACTCCCAGCGAAGAAACGTGACAGATGACATTCCTTACAGTGATGGAGCTGGCTCTGCAGTGAGACTGATCCGCAGCACTTCCATGTATGTCCTTGGAGGTGAGCAGGAAAAAGTTAGTGAACCGCTAAAAAAGTGCAGAAGTACAACCAGCATCGACTCTTGCTTTCAGCCAAAAGAGGAAGACAGAGACTGGATGTACTCTAAGACTCAGGACTGCTTGAAGTACCTGCAGGATCTGCTAGCCTTGAGGAAAAAATATCTTGAAAACATCAATAACTTGAAATCCATGCATATGGCTTCAGATTCTCCAGCATCCACAAGGTCATCCAAAACTGGAAAAAAGTCATTTCTTCCACTTCCTTCCAAAGAGCCTTCTAAGGTAATTTCAAAGAACTTTTGCCATGTGCTTAGTCTTAAGCAACAAAATCATCGAAGCTATGTATTGATTTTCTGCTTTACTGCTTTCAGTCAGTTGACATTTTTCTTTTGCATCAATTTAAGTGTTGCTAAATACATTGAGATTCTTTCTAAGCAGTGGAAAATTAGGAATGAATGACTGGTCATGGAAAGAAATGTATATGTCTCTGTTTGAGGGAGGAAATGTTGGGAGAGAGAAAGTAGGAAAAAGTTGTGAGAGTATGGAAAATGTTGAAAATGAAAGAGCAAGCTCTGACATCCTACTTAAGTACCTCGAAGTCCTTCACTACGGTTAGTGAAGTCCAGCTTGACTGAAAAATGCAGTAATCTCTGGATTTCCTGGAAGTCTTATTATTGACAAAATTACTTGCACAAAATAACTATAAATTCACTGAAACAAAGAGGATTTTTTTTTCTTAGCTGTCAGTTAGTTTGTCAGTGCTACCTTTAGCATCAGTGCAACCTCTACTGGTAGGATGTGGGGCATGAGGAATTCTTAAGGTTTCCTTTCTCTGTTCATTAATAAGTTGGTGGGTCATGTCTAGACAGTGAAATTCTTAACCCTTTACTGTAATGAAAATACAAAAATAAAAACGGAATATCATCTTTGGTGCAGATTATTTTCATGTATCCTAGAAATAAAAGCTTTATAGGTTAGCATGTCACTGGACAGTTCAGTGGTTACCTTGACTCTAGACTTAATTCAGTGAGGACATAACAAAGGACTGCAGCAAGTGGGATGATCTTTAGTTTAGGTAACATGGCTGCAAACAAGACTTCAACAGGAGACTCACATGTTATCCCGTGCAGTCTTTAAGCTGGATAATAATGGGGATGGTGGGAAGAAGGGATGTAGGGCTGAAATTACTGATTAGGCCAGGTTGATGTTAAATAGTGTTGCTGCCATATTTAGATGTTCTGTCACAGAGCAGAGTGTCAGAATGATTTGTGAACTTCTGAGATGAGCTGCTGAAAATACTGCTTAAGAAAAGCACCAAAGCTTAACTTGTTTTTTGGCAAACAATTGGATCTCCCACAGTCTGCAGCTAAGAATGCTGTCATCTGACTTTGGCCTTGTGAATGAACAGTCCTGGTAGTGACTGGCATGCTCACTTCATCACCCATCCCCTTGGAAACAGACAGGAACATCAGCAGAGTATTCTTGCCAACACAAATGGCAGAGTCACAGCTGCACACCTCTGGTTTTGTAAAAATTAGGGAGAGGTCAAGAAGCCTTTTACACAATTCAGACTATTCTTCCTAACTACACATTTTATGTCCACGGATTGCAAAGTTTGTGTTATCACCAGGCTTGAATCGTTTTGTCCCAGGCTACCTGCTCTTATTAAATTACCTATCAGTGGGAATTCACTTCTTTCTCTAACCTGTTGCATGATTTATAGGAAGGTGATTTGTCCAGACAAACCTGTCCCCATGGGAGTTTTGATCCAAAGATCCCTGGGATCTCACTATGAATTCAAAATGTGCCACTTGTGTCTAGTGGAAAAAAAGAAGAGAGGTGGGTCAGATGTGGGGAGCACATTGGCTTGTCTTTAAAATGCCTTTTAACCAATAAGGGCTTAGTCATAATAGCAGTCCCTATTTCCAGTAGATGTGTGGTAGCAGCTATCTTTTAACACTTCTCAGGATGTCAATCAACCCATAATGTCAGGAGGGGAATCAGCTAGTTCATCTCTCTGCCTCCACACCACAGGGAACAGGCTGGTCCTTCAGATGTGTGACATGGCACGCATCCTTTTCTCTCATTGAAACCCAGGGTAGCAATTTTCTGAGCTGGTATTGCAGCCTGACATTATACCTGACTTGGACCAGCAAGAAAAATATATGCCCCTTCATTAGGTAGAGCCTGGCAGGAATTATTCATCCCATTTGTACCTTCAGAATCCCTAACCCAGGTTTTATGACTGTTTCAGCTTTTATAGATAGGCATTTCCTTTTTCATCAAGACAGGCTCCTAATTTTAAACTGTGTGCCTTTCCTGTGGGAATTATCACAGTGCTGAATGACTCATAATTTAGCACACACCATCCTTTTTAATTTCAAAAAGACTTCAGCAATTTAGATCTGGATTAATTTCACCTAACCTAGGCATTTTAATAAGATGCTTATATTAGTAACAAAGTTACCCCTCAATCCCTTTTCAGCTGAGAGAAAGAGCTACCTGTAGAGGAGGGTTCAGCCTACTTAAGGCCTGACTCATCTTCTGAAGCTACTGGAGCCCAGCATTAATTACAGAAGGAGCCCTGCATGACTACATTTCTAATGTGTTTCTCCTTAGGAGCCTAGTGCTAGGCAGAATAAATTTGGTCATAAAGCCCAGCTGTCACTTAGCCACCCAATTAAATGGCCTGGTACATGGATTCTGAGGGATTTCAAAACACCTGGCCAGTAGTGCCCAAGTGGAAGGTACTTGTTGTTGAACATGCAACAGGATGTATATTGGTAAGATATCTGCTGCCCTGCTTTCTTTGATTTCTACACTGTGGAGTAGTTTGGACCTGTGTTTATTTCCTGACAGCCTGAAGTGTGGCATCAAACACACCTTTCATTTGGAGTATGCTCATTAAGAAATCATTGTGCCCAACCCTTGGCTAGCTATTTTCTCCTTTGTCTGATCAACAGGCATCTATGGAAAGAAAAGGCACACAGTCCAGTTCAGATGTAAGAGAAGCAATAGCTTTCTTCGACTCAGTGATTGCAGACTTGGACTCAGAGAGATGGCGGAGAGTTCCTGACATGGATCTGCCAAATGTGGATGTCGATTTTGATGGTGCAGTATAAACCAGCCAAACATATGGGTTTTGGGGTGCAGAGGGTAGAGGAAGGAAAGGCATTGTGACATCACATTTGTTTAATGAATTTATTTAATTTATCAGTTGTCCTCTAGTTTTGCTTCCCAAATCTAGGACCATTATATGCAATATGTGAAATTACAGTAATACATCACTTGTTCCCTGTTGAATGGGTGCAACTATTTTATGTGCAGTCATTACATGGCAAATGTAGCACGTGCAGGGTTGGAATAGTGCTTGCCTTCTGCTCAGGGCTGAACTCCACCCTTGCATCTGTATCTCAAGCTGTCTTTGGAGAATTATAGAAAGTATAAATGTATTTTTTTCTTCACCTTTTTTTTTTTTTTTTGAGAAATGACTGGGTGACTCCTTTACAGCTATCAAAAAAGAAGTCATTTGATGATTAGGCTAAATAACTGGAGGTTTCCATTAGAAAAAAATGAGATTGCCCAAAGAAATGAAGATGTGCCAATTTAAGGTCATCCTGTATAATCAGCAGAGGGATATAGATGTTTCTCACCTTTGCTTCAGGCTGAAGTGATTAACTGAAGCAGGTCATTTTAGCAGTGCCCAAAGAGTATATTTGAAGGGACTAGCTCTCACATACATGTTTATGCTGCAGGTGTTGAAATTCTAGATAAAATGAATCCCATCCCAAGTGGTATCCTGCAGTGAAACCAGGTTTGTCTCCTGATCTTGCCCCCAGGAAGGACCCAGCAAGAACCCTTGCTGTGTTCCCTCACTGTGCAGATTAAAATGTCACTGACAAGCTGTTAATCCCAGATTGTCTTCTGTTTTCCAGTTGCTACTAGTACGAGTGAACACAGTTTGCATTCAAACTGGATCCTTCGGGCTCCCCGGAGATACTCCCAAGACACTGCCCAAGCAGCTAAGCAATCCCAAAGAAACAGTCAGAGGAGAACCACTGGCTCTAGGAAAAGGCTGGAAAGGCATCCCATGTACCTGCCCAAAGCTGTGGAAGGGGCATACAGCACTTTAAAATTTAAACCTAAAACACACAAGAAAGAATGTTGAAAGAAGAATGCTCCCTTTTTGTTCCCTTTTCACTTGAAGACAGAATATATGAAATAGGGCATGTAAGACCTCAATTTTTTTTTTTTGTTTTTGTTTTTGTTTTTTGTTTTTTACCACTGATCCATCACTTACACTCCAGAAATGACCTGTGCAGTCACTGAAAGTTCTTCACAGGGGACGTATTTTAAGCCATGGCTATTCCAATGTTGGACTCATATGAGGGTTTAACTCATCAAATTTTCTGTGCCTAACAATACTGCTTTGTCATTAGCTTGGTGGGGGGGAACTCCAGCTTGACAAGCCTTTTTTTCTAGTGCTGTTACAGAAAGCAATGATTCAGAGATTGCCTGGTGCAGTAATTTTTCTTCTGACTCCAGTACTGCAAAGCATTTCAAGGAATTCAGCAAATATTTTGGAGTTTTTGCAGAGGTGTTTCCAATGTCAGAGCAGTGAAGCAGAATTTTCTCCTGTTGCTTGTGAAAATTTGTATGTGCCATTGTTGACTCTTATGTTCTGAGAGTATACAGCAGCACCAAGATACACTCAGTCTGCAGCACAAGCAGGAAAGAGCTGGATTGAGGGAATCAGCATTAGAAACTTGTGTTTAGGGTAATAGTGTGCTCATGTGTGTTTTATACTCTGCTTGCTATTGGAAATGGTTCTGTGGTTGGATGCATCAAAATAATCACTGCACACAAAAATATATGCAGCTTGTTTCAAATGGTTACACCACATGCTAGTTTTCATCTAACACCCGGCTGATGAATCTAGGCACCCCAGTGTACAATAGAAAAGCTTAAAGTTGTGGAGAACATTTTGTGAACAAATTGGAGCAAAGTTGTTCTCAGGGGCAGAAGAGAACTTGCAGACAAAGCCACCATATCACCTTTAGATTATACCAAATATTTGGAATTCTGCTACTCCATCATTAAAGACAATATATTAGGATGAATGAAGTCTAGAAGTGTTTCTCTTCATCTTAGAGAGGATATGTATTCCATGTGATACTTGGAATTAATAAGACCCATGCTCTGCCTGTCAGAGCTCATACTTTGTCTTAAGAATTTGCTAAGGTGTTTGGGATCAAGCTTTTGCTTACTCAGATTTTTTTTCATCTGGCATCATTCAGCTGGTGCTCGACTATGACAGATGGATCATGGCAGCACTGGTATGACCAGCTGGTGTTATCACCACTGGTGATGACCAGCTAGTGTTTGCTTGTTTCTATGATCAGTAGTTTTTGTGTCCACAGGCTTAGATGAATTTCCTAAGGCACTGGCCATCAATATAGCCCATCTGATATACGAAAACCCCCATAAACCTTTTGTCCTCACACAGAACATTTGGTAGGTGTTAATTCTTGCTGATTTGTGTTCCTAGTCCTTGGGACTAAATTATTCAAAAGGCATTTCTGCCATGGGCTGCAAGTATATCTCTGAACTTAATGATCTAGGCCACTTTCTGTCATAAGATAGAAAAGTGCCAAAAACCCATATGTTCCTCCATTCAGAGCTGGCATCTCCTGTTTGATGAAAGCATTTTGATTTTTTTTCTAGTGATGTTTGTGAAGCAGATGGAAGAATTGTTTCTGTAGCACTTCAGTTCTGGAGGTGCTTTTGTTGCTCTTGGCCTAGTTTGCATCCTCTTGAAAATGACCAGTTTAAATAACATAATTGATACATATTCAAGAAGAGTTTAAATTAAGGTCTGGGTTTTGTCTCCACGCTGTTGGTGCTTTTCACAATTGTCTGTATCCTTTAAATTGTGTTGCTGCCTTTGTACCTCCCCAGTTCTGTACTGTCCACCCTGAGCTGAATGCCCTGTAAACTATTCTGCCTCTGAATGTATTCATGGAATTCCACTCAGCCAGGTGGGATAACCAGAGCACAGCTTGTTCCAAACACACCCCTAGGATCTGGCATGCCTCAAGGCTGCAGCTCTGTGTATGTGTGAGAGAAGGGGGACAGTGCTCAGAACAGTACATTTTTGGCAACTGTGTCACCCTGAAACTCCTCTCCAAACAAAATTTCGTACTGAAGTTGCCGAGGAACATTTTTACTGACTGTGGGCATCTTTTTGCTACTAGAACCTGCAACATGGATGGGTGCTGACAGAAAATCTCATCGTCTTCTTTGAGTTACTACAACAGAATTATGCATGTGCATAATTAAAATACTGATGAGAAAAAAGAAGAAAAGGATTCCAATGTTTTTCTGCCCTGGGCTGTGTTTCATGTTTGTAGTGCCAAGGTTTTATGCATTGGAGTAACTGATCTCTTTGCTATTGTTTTAAGAATGCATTTTGATATGCAGAACCAGACTGCTTCAGCATGTGCAAAACAAGCAATCCTTCCCTGTAACCTCTTGTCTGTCCTTGTAAAACAGACATCTCTGATTGTCTGGTTGTGATAGGGGGCGAGGGTCCCCCTGCTGTCCAGCAGAGAACCTTCAGTGTGAAATTCGGTTTGCTTTTATGAATAAGGGACAAAGTGGGGGGGGGGGGGTGAAATCAGGTTTATAATCGAAATCAGATTTATAATTTCTATTTGGATTTTGTCATTTTTTTCCACTTTTCTTAAAGTTCACTTCAAGCCAGTCATCATCTTAGAAAATTCTAATTAAGTAAAATAAACCAGTTTTTCTCTGAGAACATGTTCTATCACCTATCCCATGAATACAGGCACCTTCCTTCTTCTTCTAGGATATCAGCCCCTGTATGCTCCTCACTTAACATGGCTCAGCTCCAACAGAGCTATGGAGAGCAGTGCCTGCATGTCAGGGCACTCTCTGTGGAGGTGGGAGCTGAGGCTTCAAAGGACTTGTGCTCCCTGTGCTAGAGCAGCTAGTGAAACACAAAGGGAGCAGGAGAGAGGAGAGGGCACCATCTCCATCCCAGTGTCAGCTGCCTCCTCAGAGAAGGATTTAGTGTGGATGGCAGCACCCTCTGCATTATCCCAAGAGAGAACCCTGCCCCTGCCCGGCACTGGCTCATCCTAGGCAGCTTTCTACACAGCTTCCAGGAGCAGTTGGTTGCCCTACAAAAGTGCTTCCCATCTGGGCTGAATCATTCCCCGTGGCTTTGCAGGAAGAGCTCTCTGCATGGACACTGAAGGGATTCTCTCTGTCCTGGCATGCCTTCTAAATGACCTCGCTGCAACCTGCAGGTATTTTCAGGCATAGCACCCTAGAAATTAAGCAGCTACTAGAGGGGTTCTGACAGTGCCAATCACACAGAAGAGTTGTTGATGACCGGCAGAGCTCTCAGTGACCTAGATCTTTCTAAGAGATTGTTAGTGAGCCCTCTGAGTCATGCCCCCAGGCCGTGGTAATGAAGGGCATCAACCAGGAGCTCTATCGATCAAGGTCACTGTGTGCCAGTGTTCCCTGCAGCACTGCAAGAGCTCTTTCCCAGAGTGCACTGGAATAATAGGCAAGATCTTTGCAAAAACATCTCGTATTTTGTTGTTTCAAATCCAGCTCAGCTGAAGTATTAGGATATGTCAGGTCCTTCTAGCCTGTGTCATTGCTGAGTGCTAGGTCTGAAGTGGCCCTGGCTACAAATTTCTGTGACACCACATCCCCATCTGTCTTTGAGAAACTAATGACACTGTGTACAAGAATCCAGAAACTGAAGAGAGGTGAAGTCTGTTGAAGGAATCACGTCCTGGAGGATTCAAAATAATTTTGTCTTTTTGTGTGAGCAACTCAGTGTAATCACAATGCATGTAAGCGAGGTGAAATCGTAAGGGTCTTTGGCAGAAACAGAAGAAATATAGGCAGCTAATAGAAAGTTGGCAGCTGGACAAGATGTAAGCTCTGGTTTGAATTTTGCAGTGCCATAAAGTTACGATGAAGGCAGAAGGTGTCAGTATCGCCTCGAGTAATGCAGGAAGTCCTCCAAGGTAATGCATAGAAAAATTCATGGCTATCTGCTGCTCCAGCTTTGAGGGGGTGTATTAAAAATATTAGATTCACACCTAGTGGGTGTCTTGAAAATTTTCACAGCTGTTGGGTCAGTTTGTCATTCTGTTTGGGTAAATTTGGGAGAGTGCCTCCTGTGATTTGGTGGTGGGGCAGGCCCACAAGGAGATGAAAGCAGCATGGAGCTGACCAGTCACAGCAGGCTCTGTTGAGGAGGGTTTACCCAACTTTTGGGCCTGTAGCTTTGAATTATGCCCATGGTAAAGAGAAAACAGGCTGCATAAAGTCGGTGGAATGACTCTTTAACTATTGTGAGTTTAGCAGGTAGAAAAATGTTCTGCAAGAATTTTGAGGGCAAACCATGACAAATGAGCCCAGCTGCTTCAGACCAAACTGAGAAGCAGAAGCTAAAGCCTGTTGCTTGATTAGCAGCAATTTAGTGCATGATGACAACTTTTCTACTACTAGGCTGGTCATATTAAAATATTGTCCATCCTTTATAAGGCAAGAGCAGGCATCACCATCCAAATGGCTCAGCGACTGTGATACACTGACTCCACACAGAAGATGAGGTGACCTATTAGAGAAAATATAAAAAGAATTTATGGAATTAAAAGTGATGTATTACACCCTTTAATAAAAGTGAGATTGAGAAGGAAGCAAGACTTTACCAAGAAGTTTATGGCACTGACAGGGAGGCACAGCACATGACAACAAAGCAAAATAAGTGACTGAGCACAAACCTTCCACAATTCAGTGCTGGGGACTGTCACTTACAGCATCAGCTCTTGAAGATTTCTAGAAAGGTAGCTAAAATTGTGACTTGGCCACACGGTGGCAGTTCATTCCTAGCTATTCTGCAACTCTCCTATTTCTGTGAACAGGAGAACTGAGGATGAAAGTAAAAGGGAAGTTTTGTCCTGCTTCATCAAGAGACAGTCAGTGTGTGTATCTGTTATTCACCTCTGGGCTCCTTATTTCCCAGGCAGTTGTTTGGCAGTTTTCAATGATCATTAGCTCTTTAAATGAGTTTACTTTTCCAGGGAGAGATTTCCTTAGGCTATAAACAGCCATGACATC